TCATCCTCCAGGTTTTAAAAGTATAGTGTCACGGACGTCCAAAGGGACTAACCGTGGGGAGCAGGAGAGCGGAAAAAGACCCATATGCGTAGTGGCGAGACGGGAAAAAGGCCCGGGCTCATTAGTGCAAAGAGTTCAGGAATGCCGTATAGAAACCTATGCCTCAGGGAGCGGACGTGGGGCGCCCTGGTGCTAGGCGGGTCTCATTACATCCGAACGTCAATGCTGAGCGAGGACAGAGTGCAAGACCCAGAAATATATAGCCCAAGGGAAAGAGAGGAACCGGAAGGACAACAGGCAGGAAACTAGGGACAGGACAGAGAAGGAGCGCCCTCTGCAGAAAGAGGGTGTGACATATAGGGAGATCTAAGGCACAAATGTAGGAGAAGCACGGGAAGGACAATATTCACAAAACTGCACTGATTTGAAGTGAAGGCTTTGGCTATAATAATCTCTAAAACCCAACGTCTGTAAATTTGACATAGAACTTAAAAATGACAAAAAGAGAAATGGCTCATTTTAACAAATAGAAATCTATTATAAATCCAATGAGCGAGCAGTCCAGTTACAAAAGAAACCCCCTGATAAGCACACAATGGCTAATTATCACATTTATCTCAGTACATGAACTGAAATACAAGCGTGAATTGCAGCTATCCAAAAGGCATGCAAAAAAAAAGAAATGACAATCACAACTTTAAGTGGTTTGACAGTGAAATGTATTCACACTTTGTCTAGTTTTACTGTAAAACTATTCACAAACACCTACGGTAACATTTATTACAAAGAAAAGATTGCAGATGGTCAGCCAATAGACATGTAATGTATGCCAAGATGTGAAAAACAACACATTATAGAGGAAGATAGCATCTTTTTCCCCATTTATGTCATTTAAAAGCACATCATCTAAATGAAAAAAAATCTTAAAGGGGAACTGCAATCCTATTTTTATATTTCACAGTTAGGAAGAATCAGAATCAATGAGTGCAATTCAAACCACAATAAAAGTAAAACGTAAATTAGATGTTTTACAAGTTATCATGTACATCACAAAATAGACAAAATTGTCTAGCATTCCCAGCACCATATTTTGGGATTCAGAACAAGGCAACAAAACTTCCAGTGATGTGAAGCAGCCTTATTACACTGTAAAGAAGAAGATGTGAATACATCTCTTTTAATCCAATACAAATATTGCTCTAAATGTCAAGACTGTTCTGTTGGCAAATACTACTTACTTGTTAACTCTGCATGCAGATCATGCTGAAAACTTTTCTGCAGTGAAATATCTGCTGCACATGTACTTTTTTTCCCTAGTATATCAAATTACAATAGTGATAACAGTGACTAGTGAGCAGGAAAGGCCACTTCACGTCGTAATTCATGGGAACTTTCACTCTCGCCAGTGGTGAGACCAGGGGTTTGCGGCAACATAGCGACTTAGAGTACTTACACAAAGTTCACAATTTTGAGCTTCATTAGAAATTTGTACATTTGTTCTCTACCGTCAATTAATTCATTCTGTTACTGAGATTTAGTCAATGCTCTGAGAAATAGGGACTGCAGCTGTAGAGCACTAACACTGGAGCTCAAGTGACTGGTATATTAGGATGGTAACCTGGTACTCACACTGCCCGTCACACCTTCTTGCTCATTTACAGTATGTCACCATACTTTTTTATTTAAGTAGAGTTGAGTTGGTGAACAATCAGAAACCAATTGATTGACCAATATTGGACTTTCTGGTTCATGACTACTGTTTCTGTCCTGAAACATACTGTAAGCGGGCTAAATTCACCTAAGAAACATGCTAATAGTCTGAATTTGTTATGAAGGAAAACATGTTTATAGATTTGCTGATAATTATCCAGTTTATGCCCCTTTAAATATTATATTATTCTAGTTGCTTCTATGTTGTCATTAATAACATTGTAGTGTGGGGTTAATTAAGCAACGGGGACACATTCATGTGTAAAAATATTTACATGAATTCCCTCAACTATTTAAAGACATGAGCCGAGGAACTCAAGTGAAGGTTTGAGCTGCTGCATGTTGAGTCCAGAGGAGTGCTGTTCTATGTAAGGCCCCTGTGTGGGGTGCAACACCCTGTCATAGTGGGGGAGAATGCCCAGTTCCTCCACCAGTTCCTTTCATCTCCCCTCTGGAACAGACAGCAACATCCAGTTGCACTGTGAGCCACCGGGTGTCCTTCCTGACACGGGTCTGGTGGGGCAATGACGACTGCTAGGATATAACCGAGAGATCGAAGGAGATTCTGCTCTAGGACTCTAAAACATTCACTATCTGATCTGGGTGTAATTAATATATGGCATGTATTTAACCCCTTATATGAAAAAAAGGTCGTCTTTTAGTTGAAAATACATTTTGGAGAGCTTTTGTTGTACAAAATCTTCAGATACAACCCATGTCGCGATCAGATTATAAAGCCAAACCAACACCTGATTTGTACTTAATGATATTTTGTGGAAATTACCAGACTTGGAAAATATTTCTTATTACTATAAAGGTATTGCTTAAATATTAAATACAAATTTCTTTGCTATAATGGTAGTTTCCATTTATTCATTTTGAGACTCCATAGCAATTAATGTTCTGCAGATAGATTGGCACACAGATACTGCTCTCAGATCCCTTATACAGTGGTGTGAAAGATCATCAAACAAATTGAAATATTAGACAAAGATAACATATTCCAAAAAAAATATTTTGGATTTGTTTTTTTTTCCCTTCATAATAAAAACCTTCATTTAAAAACTGCATTTTGTGTTTACTTGTGTTATCTTTGTCTAATATTTCAATTTGTTTGATGATCTGAAACATTTCAGTGTGACAAACATGCAAAAAAATAAGAAATCAGGAAGGGGGCAAACACTTTTTCATACCACTGTAAACTCAGCTTTTGTTGTTTTTTCTTTTTGTTTTAAATTATACTCCAGACAAATTTGATTTGGAACATTTTACAAGGTTTCTTCAATCCCCTCGTCTTTCTCATGAAGAGACAGCTACATGCTGGGTATCTATATCCCCGTCTGTGCTGAAGAAGGTCCTTCAGGATATGGCAGGATTACCAGGCATTGTTGACAACCCTCTTGAATTTTATATGATTATTTGGCTCCCATACAGTATATCCCCTTCTGCTCCTCTCCTTATGAAAAGCAGTTTAGGAAGGCTCTTTTCAGAGTGATGTTAATACTGCCATTATCACTATTTGTTTTATTCACTAAGATCCAACACTTTGGTCAGATATTGCCCTCTCTGTTTGATTATTTGAATTTTATATGATTATTTGGCTCCCATACAGTATATCCCCTTCTGCTCCTCTCCTTATGAAAAGCAGTTTAGGAAGGCTCTTTTCAGAGTGATGTTAATACTGCCATTATCACTATTTGTTTTATTCACTAAGATCCAACACTTTGGTCAGATATTGCCCTCTCTGTTTGATTAACACTGAAAGCTAAGGTACTGTACCATTTCACTGGCTGGAAAACTATTATACAACCAAATAAGCACACCATAACCAAACAGACTTTATTGAAGGGCAACTTGTGGCTGATAACATTCTAAAGACACTATCTCCACATGTCCCTCTTTTACTGGCTGCTGAAACCAGCTTTTGGCCAGCTCTAGTGGAAATACTGTACCTACAGTGCGGTCTAAGTCATATGGGTTTAGGATAAGGTTTCATTGGTATGGTTAAAATTTTATCTACTATCCCTTCAGCAATGGTGTTAACAACTGTTTGCCATCTCTAGGGGCACTTGTTTGGGATGTTGACTGTCACCTGAATTGTTTTTCTTGTCTTTGGGACCACCAGCTCAAGCTGTCCATCAGATGACTACTTCTACCCCTGTTTATTTTAACAAATACTCAGCACAGTCATTCAATGCTGACTGTATACAGTTTTGCAATTTGTAGTCAATGTCTTCAAATTCCTATATCACATACTATTTTTGATTTGTTTTAGCAGGGTATAAAATTAATTGAAGTCTGTTTATTACTCCCTTAAAATTTGCAATGAAGGCAACTGGCCCACCTTTGTATGTGCTGCCAGTAAAAGGTAACTTTAGTTAACTCAACATTGGAATTTCATCCTTTTTACCTGCTATCAATGTAAACAATTTCATATTTTAAAAAGATGACACAGATGGACATTCCTTATTTCTCTTCAAGCTCAAGTCTCTAAAATTAATAATGAATGTGCTTCTTTGCTTAATTTTCTTCAGTTCTACAATTTCTCTTTCTCCTCATTGAGGTTATTACATAAAAACAAATTGAAGTGAACTGATGTGTATTCTATTCTGCACTCTACAGGCTGAAGGATTTGGGAGGGCTCACTGGTTCAATGCTGACACTTATCATTGTCTGCATGTGAAGAAGGTCTGGACTTCAGGTACACTAAAGATGTCATTTATTTGTAAATAACTCCACTCAGCAGTGAGTGCCACTAAAATTAAAGCCGCAGGAAAAACACAAATAAAACAACATTCTATTAGCTTTGCACCCAATGTAGTTATTCTCAAGTAGTGTCATATGTACTGCCTAATGAAATGGGATTCACCGTTTCTTCAAACTGAAAACTGGCATGTTTTTTTTAAGAAGGGAAATTATGTTGACAATTGTTCAATCTCATCAGTGTATGACTCCTTGAATGTCATCATCAACAGTTTGATTTCTTAACTGATGAAAGAACAAAAATATGAAACTTGAAAAAGAAATGGGCTTTTTTGCATGAATGCATCATTAAGTTAACATTGAAAATGCAACATTCAGTAACGAGAAACTGGCTGTTTTTTCCTCAAAATGCGTATTCCAAAAACTCACACAAAAGAACATCTGGTGCCTTTAAACAGAAAATTATTTTAAAAGTCTGGTTCAAACTCAATTCACATTTCATTTGCGTGAACATTTTTCTCTCTCAAATCAATGAATAAAGAAAGGATTGCGTAGATCGTAAGCAAGAAAAGGCAAGGTTACAGTACCTTCAATCCTCCACAGATAGGGCAAGCAGCAAACAGAGCTCTTGACACCCCTGGGTGGGGGCTGCATATTTCACACGGGTCTGTGGAGACACCAGCAGATGGCACCACCTCACTGCTCCTGGGTACCCGCACCTGTTCAGGGTGCTGTACAGCTGACCACCTCGGTATAAGATCCACATACGTCTCATCTGAGTCTCTGGAGCTTTCATGACTGGAAGATGTTGCAAGCCTCCTGTCAGAGCTCAGTTCAGGAGTAGCTCCTTTTGTGTCTGTGATGCTGGTAAGCAGGGAAAGAGCAGCTTCGTCCTTTGGTAGTGAAGTATCTGGGCTCTTGCTCTGGGCTTCCCGGCTGGCAGCTGCCTGTAATAAACTCCGAGGCGTGTCGTAGAGATGCCTAAGTGAGCTGGGAACTTGATACTCGGAGCCCAGAACCCTCTGTGTTTCACCGTGCTGGCAGGTGCACCAGCTCTGATCGGATGCAAGGTTCAGCGGCAGGCTAAGCAGGGATCCAAACTCGTCTCCGTGGCAGATGTCCAGGCTGCCCGTGTAGGAAGAGAAGCTTCCAGAGTATGAGGAGTGACTCCCGGTGGCAATTCCACTGTCAGAGGAGCTCTGGCGGCCGATTTCCTGCAGCTTCCGGGACCGAGGGGGCTTCGGAGGAGGTCTTGTCCCGCGCATGGCCTCCACATGCAGCTTCTCCTCCCCGTGAAGCACGGTCTTCGCCGCGGGCAGGCTGTGGGGCTCCAGGGGGGCACTGCTGATGGACGGCTCGGGCCAGATTGCCAGCCTGCTGCCGATGCTGGTATCCGAGTGGCTGGTGTCTGAAGAAGAGCTAGACAGACTTCTGTCGTCTCCTAGCGTCCCCGAGGTGCTGTAACTTGAAGAGGACGCTATCAACAAAATGCAAGAAAAACTCAGATGACTAACACAAACATCTTTTTATTATATGTTCTTCTTTTATCTTTAATTTCCTATTGAAACAAATTTCCTTTTCATCTACAAACATTCAAATTCCTGAGATTGAGACGGCCCGATCGGTCAGTCTTTTCCAGTCTTTTCGTTCAAAGCTCAATTTCTTTATGGAAGCAGTCTGTGAACTTATCAAACCATTAGAACTGTTTTCATGTCTTCTTAGCGTTCATAAGGATTAATACATTTCACTGCCTTACAGTAATTTGACCTCAGTTTTTCTTCACTTAACCTTTTTAATACTCTTTAACAAGAGTTAGTCTATAATGCAGACTAACATAAGACCATGAAAAATTAGGAATCAGTGGACCAATTTCCGGTTTATTCAACCACTGCAGGTTTTGTCATCAATTCCTTTAAACAGTGGAAACTAACCAGCAAAACAGTTTTGGATTATGTATCATTTAGCATACATTTGATTTTTTTTACTTAAGATAAAATCAATTTATTGGCCATATACAATTTCTTGTATTAGGAATTTGTCTTTTCACATACCCCAACTTGCTCTCCACAAAACATACAGAGAGGGAGAAAAGCTTGGGGTCAGAGCACAGGGCACAGCCATTTATACGGCGCCCCTGGAGCAGCTGGGGTTAAGGGCCTTGCTCAGGGGCCCAACAGAGTAGGATTCCTCTGCTGGCCACAGGATACAAACCAGCAACCTTCAAGCCACAGGCTCAGATCCTTAGTCACAGAGCCACTGCACCGCCCCCTTAAAATACTTGACTATTTCATTTTTATGCTGCATTTTTTCTGCTCAGCGTTCAACTTGTAGAAACGTGTCACAATCATAACATTCATAGATTTCTAGACTTCCTGAAAGCCAGCTGTGCCATTCTGTTCAGTTTCCCACCTGTACTGCTCTGCCGACTGGAGTGGGACAGGAGACTGAGGCGTTTCTCCAGCTCGAGAGCTTCATGGCTAACCCTGTCTTCCATGTAGGCTGGATTAGCATTGGGGTCTGCGAAAGAAAAAGACACGCAATGGCTCTGTGTTAGAGTTCAGTTAAAACTGAACTAAGCTGAAAAACAAGAATAGTGTTGCTAAGAGGTAAATCTGTTGTAAGTTCCAATTTGGTTTGCCCTGTACAAAAATATAATAATCAAAATTAATGCAAACTGACTATGCGGGCAAGCTGCCCACATGAATTTATAAAACGGGCAGTTTTGCCCCCCGTGGTAGCACTCTGATATATTGCCCCGTTTACAGAAGCCTGTCTATAAATTGTGTTATTCTGCAGTGTGTTGTATATTTTTATTTGTTTCCCAACAGCAAACAGATAATATTCATCATTAACTTGTGATAGGCACAACAGAAAATGCCAAGGAGAGGAATGAAGACATTACTTTTATCTATCATAATTCATATACAGTACATCCACCGAGTTTGACACATGCAGGCTTTGATGAATCAGTGGTACAGTTCAAAGTTAAACTACCCTTTTTAAAGACCAATTGACTCAAGGATGACTTTGGTAAGTCATATACTGTACATCCCTTTCTGAATACATTTTTTAATTCAATTTATTGCTAAAAAAGAGCATGAACCTTCACATATAATCATTAAAACATATTCTATTCTACAAAAACACACACAAAGCCAAAGAAGGATGCCAAAAATGATGCCAGGAAGAAATTTATTTTTTGGTTTTCCCACTTTGGAACATATTAAATGTCCTATTCTCAGACGCAAACTGAGTAATTACCTTGTCTTGCAAATGTTTTACAGCAAATCATAAGGAAGTCATCTTAGAAACAAACAGCAGTTAATGCTCTTTTTTTATAAAGGTTTTACCACCTAGAAGACTTTATAAAAGGCTGCTTTTATAAAACCTACATTAGGTAGTAAGCAACATGAAAGCATACTGATAAACTAAACTACTTGGCCTTGTAGTACAGTGCTGTTCTCAACAGATGTAATTTGTGTACACAGTGCCATTTTGGGAAAACATGAAGATAGTATTTTGCCATTTTATTTATTTGAACATACAGAAACTCTTAAAAACTACATTCACCTTTACTTGCTTTCTAGCCTAACCATAATGCATTCCAACATTTTCCATGTTTCACTACAAAAGAAACATTTCTAAATACTATAAACAATACCTTCAATTACTTTAATTGTACAACCTATTATTGAAACATTTACCACTGTATTTCCTAAGAATTGCTATAACACAGTATTAAGACAAGGATAAACCACAGGCACAATGCCAAATGTAAGATCAGTGGGGTTTATTAGAATCCCCCCTATGAAATTACACAAACCTTTTGGAGTGATTAGCAGTGTCCTCTGCTACACAGTGTAAAATGCAACTTTGAGCCCAGCTACTTCCAAGCTAAGTTCTAGGCTGTTTGCTCTGTCTTACAGTTTAATAATAGGCAATGACCTAAACATCGGATTAGTGTGACATGTGCAACCAAAAGCAATAGTAAATGCTGATAGCAGCCAAGAAATACCTTTTTCTTCTGTTGTCATCAATAAGACTTTTTAAAATGGAAAATTTTAAGGTCAAAATATCTGTTTGACAAATGTCATTATCAGTCTCAAGAGTTTGTGCCGTGGTTACTGTAAATGACTGTTGTACTGCAAGAATGGACAGAAAACTAACTGAAGTAATTAATGTTGGAGCCGAACAAGATTAGATTCATTTAAAAAAAGGCTCTCCAGAGATTTAAAATGCAACCCCATCTGAAAATTTAGACAAGTGCCTTTTTATGACTTACCCTGGAAAATGGCAGACATTTTTGAAACTTTTTAAAATAACAACTTTATATTTGGGCACGACTGAATTTTTGGATTTATTTACCATATCTTGTTTCTTTCAGAACTTCTTAATTTCCCCCAAGACTACACACTTCATGTTGATAAAACATTCACAAATCTAAATTGCTCTGTTGTGTAACAGTACTGCATAGTGATGCTACCAAGCTGTTCATTTACCTACTTTAAATAAGCCATGCAGTGTCTTCAGTGTCAGGTTTGCGGTTCATCTTGGATTTACGACTTCCAGGATCTGGTTTCACATATTGGCAGAAGCAAGTCAGGGTACCTTTGTTTAATTCAGGTACATTTATTTTTCACAGTTAGCGTTACTATAAAAAATATGCAAAAGTCTCAAGGGAGTGTTTGATGAATGCATCTATCCGATGCTCCCTTTCACAGCTTTGGATAATGTTCCCAACAACACAGACAATCTTGGTCACTATGCATAAAGTCACGTCAAGCATCGCTCTCGTTGCTAATTATAGCTCATTTACAACCACAAATGTCTCAGTTTAAAAAGGCTGGAGTACAAGATGGTTTAGGAGCGACGTACATCATGAAATGCTTGGACACTCAAGACATACCCAAGCGCTCAACAGCACTTCCAGCTCCTTTTCCATCAGAAAGGGAGTGCATGACCTGTGGCTCCTACACTAAATACCGTTTATAAATCTCCCCTTTAACTTACATTATGATGACAGGTTTGGGGTAAAAGGAAATACGGAAATCAGTTTGAGAGCTAGTCATCTTTAACCTTTCAGTTAGTGTGCTTATGTCATTTCTGCAGTGCCAAAAGACAAAACAGACATGTGAGGAACAAGATTTTGGGGAAAAGGAGCACCTCTGCACTGTGAGTGATAATTTAAAGTATACAAGACATTAACCACATTTACATAATTTGCTGGTTTTCTAAAAAATTGTTTTTAAAAAGACATACCCTTAAATAGTACAACCGGGATTACATTTTGCTGGTGCAGAAACTGTAACCATTGCTAATGAACTCCCCCTTTTCCTGACCTTTGTTTAAAATAATTTAGTAGATTTGATGGGGGTTTTTTCTGAAAAATGTATAAAAATATTAAAACATATGCATATTCACCAAAGGTAAATGAATGGCATGAAGTGAATTATATTAATTTGTATCTCGTTTTATCAAACAAATCATAGCACCACAGTCACATTCAGTGAAATTTCTCAAAGAGGACTACTGCCAATATTTAATTTACTAATAATAAACTCTTCCAATGGTTACTTTAGTGTGCACAAAAGGTACTATGTGCCATAATTATTATGAATATTACAGTACATTTGTATACTGTGACTTACTGAACCTTATTGTTAAATGAATGCCATATCCCATTCATCAGTGATATTAAGCTTTAAAATCATAAATTGAGGAATTTAACCTTGAGATATAAACAGTCCTGATTCACGGTTAAAAACAATGGATATCTCCTTGGATACATAACATTTGATTACATGCTTAGAACGTTCTTCACTAAAGAAGTTCTTGTTGCCTGCGTGCAGACAGCCTTATATTCTGCACGTGAATGGTTAACAGTACAGTACATTTCAAGGGCACGCTACCATTAGCATTACTATATGTAGTCATTTTCACTGTCTCGGTAAGCCATGTAATGTCATGTGAGGGTTCTTGGAAATGCCAATTAAGCAACAACACTCAGATGTAAGGGGCATCCTAAGCCAGAGATCTGCCTGCAGAATTAAAGCCTGTTAAGCACCTCTGCACATGAGTCACATTTCCTTTTGAAAGACAAGGTTAACTGCATGACATGTAAGGATATCACTGCATTTAGTTTTTAGCTGTGTGCTACAGTAAATGATGCGCTTTAACAAAAGCAATTATTGACATTGCTTGTTTTTGTCAGTTAGGGTATTTAGTTAATTCAACACTTTTTTCTGAACACAATCAGCATGGTTTGCTCTCCTCTGGAAAGAGTGGTGTACCAACAGAACTTGGTTTAATAAACCAAGCCTTGAAGAAGTCAGATTGTTGTGTAGATGGAAGAATTGTTTCCACTGGAACATGCACCTGTGTGCAGGCAGTGGACTCATTCCACATTTAGCAAAATTAGAAACGACATTTAATTCCAATCTTATATACTGTACTGTATATATATATAAACATGATATACTGTATATTGGCCCAACTTCTGATTAAAATAGATGAGAAACTATCTTCTGCTTAAAAAGGAATGACAACTACAGTACGGCATCATTGTCCCTGTCAATGATGTCTTTCATCTTGGCAAAGATTCTTCAATGGACTTTCTTTATCCTCCTCTTTCCTTCCATCCATTTGCTATCTGTTTACAGAGATAGAGCGGCTCGATTCAACTTGCTCACAGGTGTGAGAATAGCCTGCCCAGAAGGGCATGTCATAGATAAAGCGGTCCTGTCACCTCCAGGTTCTTGTGAATGAGCTTGGCGCAAGACTGATGAATGGAAAACTGCATTAATTTAACAGATAAATATTCGGAGTGACGGCCCAGAATGAAAACCACTTGACACTTCTCCCCCTGTCCTTGTGTATGCAAGCTGTAACTCTAATAAGAGCAGCAAGTGCTAGACATGGCAACTTTCTGCTCCTTGCCGACACCCTAGACTTCCTATATTAACCTGGCAGGGCTGGCCGCAGTCCAAAGGGGCCTCTGCTCGGGGATATGCCTCGAACGACGCAGTCGAAGAGAAAGCTGATCTGCTCCCCTTCGGCGCAGGACAGAAAGAAAACACCAGCCCCTGCAAGAAAAACAGAAAAACAGAATCACATTTTGTCATGTGCAGGAGAAACACCTTCAGAATCACCCCGTTTCTTAGGAGCAGGAGCCCCACATGGAAGAGATATGTCCAGAAGAAACACTACAAAATCTACACACAAAGTCATGCCATGAAGTCAATTTTGGATACTTTCTCTCTTTAACTGGATATCTTATGGCAGTGATACATTTGATGTGTACCTAATAAACAACTACGCATGAGGTGTAAATCAACAACAGGACAATCTTCAATATTCCATAAAGCAAACTTTGTATTTATTTTACCTATTATTTAAAAACCCAGACATCCATTTAACCACTTCTCATGACGGAATTGGAAGAAAAAGCTCGAAAAAAGGATGAATTGATTATTCAAATAAAACCTCATTAAAATGCAACAAAGACCTAACAATACTCTAAAAGTGCAGAGTGTAGAAACTCGTACAACCAACTAAAGAATGTATTGATAAACCAAGAACTCACATGGGAGGGGAGAAGAAAGGATGTTTATGAAACTGTGCTGTAATGAACACTTTGGCATGAGAAACATGTCTAACAATATTTACACCCCTCACAGTGTGACCTTCCTCACCCACCTTCACTTTTTATGAATTGTTTTGTGCCTCAACAGCCAACACTAATAACTTTACATCTGCCATTTTAGGGGGTTTTAAACCTAAAAAATATTAAAAGCTGGAAATATGTTAATGTACAGTATGTCTATTCTGCCTGCTATGTGCATTTGATTTCCAGTCACCTTTTGCTCAGGCATAACTGAAAACTGCGGAACATTGGAAAGAAATACAAAAATCTTATAGTAAATCTAATAGCAAGCAGCTGTTTATCTACAGAATGTTTAAATATTAGAAGTCTATAATTTTCAAGTTATGAGATAAATGTTTGTAACTGTCACATTAAAACAGATATTAAAACCAATTCTCACTGGATACTGTTTTTATCCGTGGTATGACAACACCCCAAAATCAAAGCGTAACGAACTATTGTGGAGTGAATATTTGGCTTAACCCGCTTAGCTGAGGGCCGACCTCCTGGCGATAGGACGAGGAGGCCAGGACCCCCCCGCAAGGTAACCAAGGGGCAGCTGCAGAGGTGGAGTTGGGGTGGAGGTGGGATGCAAAAGTCACATGCGAGGGAGAGAGATATCACATTTGGTATTTATAGTGTTCGGTGTAGGAAGGACGAAGGGAGTGATTGCTAATCACTGACGGCTGGGGATGATTGAGTGTGGTTGTTGTCATCCCTCCTGAATTTTAGTTAAATAAACTCCATTAATCAAAACCCATCCTTCCACAACAAAGTTAATTTTGATCTTTGTTTCACAAAGCTGCCAGTTCCAGGTATACTTCTCAGTAGTTTCCTTTAAGGACATTACAGTGCTGTTACATTAATGCATGCTTTCCTTATTTTGATTAGACATTCAAAATGCATAACAAAGCTGAAAATAGACAAATTCTAATACCACAAAGTATGAGACACTTCAGCCTTAACACTGTATTGACTTTTATATTATCTATAGTTAGGAAGTGCCTAAAGATGAAAACTGAACTACATGTAGTCTTTGTAGGCATTTATTACACTTGCTCATTAATGATCTTAGCTTTGTTACTAACGCCAAGCTCAAATCAATTACCTCTCAGCTAGAATCCCATTACTTTAGTGTGATGATTATATAGCACTGAGATAAATGGAAGGAACTGTTTTAATGTTTTGCCGGTACAGTATAAGGTGGATGGTATATACAAAGAAAAGCTTATTTCAAATGTTTGCCTGTAGTTAAACCCTAGAATTCACAAGCAAAATGGCAATACAATTCATGAAACCTATATATTCTGAGAGTTAAATATTTTTCCACACACTTCAACTTCAACTTCAAATCCTGCACTTCAACAAGCAGGTATATACGATTTTCTGAATTAAAAGCATTGACTATTTGGAAAATTGGAAAAACTATCTTCATGTACAGGGGATGCACAAACTCAGCCAGTCTGTATGGTTTTAAAAACCCATAAGAAAAGCCACAACAAATGTGACAAACAGTATTTAAATTAAGTGATAATCACTCTTGATCTTGGAGAGTTTAATACTGCTTTCTAAAACATCTAGTCATTAGTGTCTGCAGAAAAAGATCAGTTTTACACTGTATTTAGATAAACTGCAAAAACAGTAACATTCAGGTCTCAATGGAAAGAATTTAATTCTATTTTGTGCAAGCACTGTACTAGGAAGGTTCACCTTTTTTTCAACTCACATTGTGACACATACTGTACATATATAAATAACACTCAGCATAAAGGAAGTACAGTCATTCATATCACACTTGGGAAAATAAATTTGTTGTGTAAAGGATCTTACACAATACTTAAACTCCAGCTTCCAGAAATGTGGTACCAGCTGTAATGGGAAACTCCTTTGTTTAAATCACTGCTGATCAATGCTAATGGTACCACTAGGTGGCAGATGTACAGCTGTGAACTTTCATTTAGCAATGTACAGATGTAGAGGCCTGTCTACTGGGATAGTAATCAGGGTGAACAGTGCTTAAAGTCACCTTACAAGTGCATGTTTAAGTATAGGAATATTTACCGTATAGGAATACAAAAATCTGCCAAACATATAACACCGATACGTTTCTGGCAAAATACATTCAGATTATAATCGGACAATTTTCCCCCTATACAAAATCAATAAGGCAAAATATTGGCCTGAGCTGGTTATGATTAGCAGTGCATCAATGTACCCTGAACTCACACACTGCTCTTCAAATCAGCAGTTCCCAGCCTGAGTCCAGGGGGACCCCTCTGTCTGTTGGTTTCTGTTCCATCTGAGCTGTTAATCTCTGCGGCTAAACGGCTAAACCTTTTCCATTAGGGAACATGATAGGAAGCAGCTTTAACAAGATACACTATAGCAATAGTAAATTCAAGAAGAGGGTGACTACAGAGAACTACAGTATAGAGAGCAGAAAAGATGTACAGTCAACGGAGACATCCTCCAAAACCAAACAGACAAACAGTAGTGTATGTCCTGTTGCCCGACAGAACAGTCTCTCATGGGCGGCATCATACCACTTCACTCTAAACATCAAGAGCATAATAAAACTGCCCTTCTGGAACATATGTCATGCCCACATCTTTGACACGCTGGACTATACTTGGTCAACACCACAAATATATGAATGCAGAGACCAAGAACCTAAATTCCAACTTTTAAAGCCTTAATGTGCTATATAGCATATTCATACCTTTTCATTAGTCCCCTTTGCTGCCTTTAGGATTATCAACCTTTTCTACTCAAAAATGAAGCAAAGAATTTCCTTAGATGAATTCAGTCAGGCTGAAACAAAGTTTAACCAGTGTAGCCATAGTATTTAAAATTAAGCAATTTCAGTGATAGGGTATACTAATATGATTTCAGCCTGAACAGACAGTTTATTAATTTATGAGTGGTATTCATATTTTTAAAGTATGTTGACTGCAAGAGATATTGTTATTCTTTCTAAACATGATCAGAATGTACTTTACGTATTTATAGAATATATTTTTGAATTATGTAATGCAATCCTTATGGTCAAACGGTTATTTCAGTATATCTGTATTCCTCCTTAACCACATGTGGGCTTAAGAGTTATGTTTTGGGTGTTGTGTGGCACTATATTTATCACAGTATAAAACAGAAAATGATGACCACCAGATAAAGGTCTCAGAAGCTGGTGTGGTAGAAACTGCTAACAAACCTTTAGCTACAGTACATTTATACCTACAGTCTGTAGATCTTTAAACATATAATTTTTTTTCTTCAGTTCATACTTTATTCACTTTTTATTAAACAGTTAAAGAATAAATTCCTTACAACTGCTTGTCATATAAACAGAAATAACCAAACATGCTGTGAAATCTAGAAGAATAAGCTGCTTTGCAAAAATAGCCAAGAAGTAACTACTGTATATTTTAAATGTCTGCTATGCTGAATTACAGTAAGTACTCAACTCTTTTCCATTCAATTCAAATGACGTTTTCAATACACCCTAATGGGTGACAAATACAAATTGAAATAAATACAGTAGACAAACTAATATTCTTGACCTGTTGGGTTATTTTTTCAAGTATTGCAACAAAAAATAAAGACTGCTGCAGCTATCACCAATGCCTAAGACAATGTAACAATTTTTAGAACAGTTTTGCATTTAAGCTTCATCAGAGATAACAAATAAGTTGGTTTTTTTTTGCTCAAGCACATATGGATCTCCATTATAACCACAACCTCATTTGCACTCTGTAAGAAGTTATAAGATGATTTCACATGTGACCTTTAGGAAAAGTCAGAGGTCATGTGCAAGGTTTCCTGCTAGAAAACTATTTATGTGAATGAGCCTACAACACTCTACTATAGATATGTAGCAATGTGATGCAAATGTAAGCATATTAAGCATACTTAATATTTGATTGAACGATGACATTTTATTGTAGCAACTTTTAGAAGTATCTTCTGAGGAAATGTGTCAAATTTCACACCAATCATTCAAGCACGCTCAGATCTAACAATAAATCTAATATGGTTGCCTAACCATGTGACCAACCCAACTTTCTGAATAAGTCTAAAATTTAACCAAGGTGCAGATCTACACCTTCAATTGCTTTAAAGAACACAAATATTTGAAAAATGAGAGAAACTCCTAAATATGGAAGCTGCATCATGTGACTTATCTGTTTCATTTACACATCTTAGGGCTCTGTTGCTCTTTCTCTCTGGAACTGTCTTCCCACTTGTGTCCTTAATATTTCTACCCTTTTGATCATGTCCCAGTTAAAATCCCACCTTTTTTCATTGCTTTCTTCTCACAATTAAAATCGAGCTCTGATGAAAGAGTCAGCTAATGGATTGTGGGTTAGGCTATGGACTTGTACAGCTGACATCAAACGTTGCATACACCTCTCTATGGAAATATTTTGTACTGTCTACAATTCTTGTTATTTACATTTTACATTTGCTCTGCTTTACTCAGTTTGAATGCACGCTGTCATGCAATTTGAAATATTGTTTATTATATTTGAATTATTTTTCACAATGCTTTGTGAAGCACCACACTAGATGGGTCAAATGACATTCACTCATTTGTAATCATTCTCATATTCTTGTGTGGTTGTTTCTCAGGTTTCAAGAAGGTTGCTCTTGACATATGTTACATAAAATAAACGTTAGTGCTTTTGGTAAATGATGTGTGGATGTATTAGGTATTGTGTTCAAACATATTAGAGGTAAAAAAATATTTACAGCATTAACCATAAACACTGTGTACCAGAATACAGTAGAACACAATTACACTCCTAACTTCTTTCGGAGTTAGTATGTAATGTTCTTTTTCCCATATTTTAAAAAGCAGACTATGACTAATATCAAGTAGGCAGCAAAGAAATGGCAGTAAATAATACAAATGTAGGCAATACTCAAAAAAAGTAATCATTCAGCTTCTAGAAATAGCCAAAGAACACAGCTATTAAATAGAGAAATGTAATTACTGTAGAAGACATTTAAAGAAAATTATTACTTAATGCCATGTCATTTCTCACAAACAATACTTTAAAAAATTATGTTTGCAAAACAATGCAGTTGTCATATTTGTTTTGACCTTTTTCTTTGTTTTCATTTAAAAAGCTTTGTCAAAATACAGGAAGAAAATGCTGAAACATCATGAGATAAATATCGTTTTTTAAACCAGCACAAAAATAGATCCAGATAAATAACATCTACCATACTGTATACTGTATACAGTAACACTGAATAGAGAAATACATACTGTGGCACCTGCATTGGCACCTTTAAACCTCAAGTTTCAGTCCAATATTTTTAGATACCTCGTAATACAAATTTACTGTCTTTTTCTCAAAATGAGGGAAAATGGTACTTCTCCTCAAATGTGATGATAACACCATGACAACAACAAACATTTAAAGGGGAACTACAATGTTATTTTTATATTTTGGGGTTATAAAGAACCAGCATTGATGAGTGCATTTCAAGCCACAATGAAAGTAAAATGTGCACAGTAACATGTAAAGCTTATATTGCTTCTACAAAGTTCAGCATTTTGTGTTTAATTTGGAATTTGTAAGATTTCGCAAGATCTCAATTCATTTATTTTGTTGAAGAAATTGGGACTACAGTTCCCCTTTAAGAGAACATGAAGATAAAAATCACCTTCACCTGGGCTGTAAGTGGTGATTATGGATGAGAACAGCAACAAGAGTGTCCTTCTGATGAGATATCAATTTGATATTTGATAAATATATTACTATATATATTAACTTTAGATGGGCTAATCTAAAATTTTTCCACAATTCAACCAATGCACTGCACCAGATTCTCACATCTCCCCCTGATCTGATGTGTAGTGGGCTCTTGTCCATAATGGCATTTTGATATCCTTCAGGATGGCTTTAACTTTATCTTCAACTTTAAGAAGAAACATCAAAGAAACAGTTTTGAGAAAATGGCTTTGTTGGCTCTCTTCACTATTTTAAACCAGTAACACTGAAACGTTCCTTCGGTGGAAACATCATTCAGATAGAAACAGATACCAACTATAAAATTTCAAGATAAACAGAGATGCAAACAGTGCTTTTTCCCTCAGCAGATCCATTAGCATTGCCCTATGACATCTAAAAGAATGAAAAATCTTCCGTGTGTGAAAAACGAATCGTATCATCAACAGTCTGCAATGTTATGGTTTTTAATGCATGCTTTTCTAAGCAACCAAACAAGGCCACTTTTTTCAACTTCTAATATTAAAAATAGAACAAAATATATGCAAGATTAAATCATTTCACTCTCTCTATGAGATTCTGCACTACAAACATTTTTTCAATGATTTCTTTTTGTAAGAGGCATTTTATTTTTGCATGCACTAACAACTTACTGTATCTAGGGTAAGTGGTAAAAGTGGTTAAAAGAAGTTCACAAAGACCCTCAGAAATACAGTATTAGCTAGTTCTAAACGTAATGCTTCCATTTCCATTATAAAACTACTTACAATAGCCACACCGTGTTCCCCCTTCAAAGACAAAGCCATTGGGGACAGCTCCATATCTTCTGAGGTCTGACAGTTTCCACTGTCCAATGATTGCTGGTGGGATATCCCTCACAATTACCAGAAGGTCATTACATAAATGGAGGGTAGCAGGTCCAGTCTCTAGTTTGGTACCAGGTAGTACTGCTACATTAAATCTGTGGACTAGATAAAAAGGAAAAAATACTTAAACATAATGAAACATGATACCAATTTTCATTCTAGTAAATACATCGTGATCAATAATAATGTGTAATAACAGTATATTGAGGTTATAAAAATGAACACTCTTTGAAACTGAGCCAGTTATGATGTTATCATTTATTACAATCTGATGCTTTTTTACTGAAAACATGAATAGCAGGTCTGTATATCTATGTTGGCATGAAAGTCAAAAACGGGGATGAAAAGGCACAGCATTTTAACTGGTCAATGTCTCAGTACAAATGTTCTGGCATATTAAGTTATGACCAAACAGAATAAGACTTAAACTGTACAATCCAGCTAGATAAATATAGGTTGGCAGATCTATGCTGTACTATATGTAGATTAGATCACAGATATAATCACAAGAAAAACCCATTCAGGAACATTCTGTTATGTAATAATATGAAAACAAAAGTTCACTGCTGTTTGTGGCATGAAAGATAGACAGAAACCTTGTCAGCAGATGTAACCATTTTGACCATGGCACTCATTACTGCTAAACTTGAAAAAAACTGTCTTATGCAGAATGATGAATACTGTCAGTTCCAAAGATTGATTGTGTTAATAATAAAACCTTTGCCTGTGACTGCCAGCAGGAGCTTGTCATCACACAGTTTGCGGATGATATATAGATTACAATCACCTTTATGAAAAGGTCTGGTAGAGAATAATAAGGAATTATTTGGTGCTGTAAAAAGCAGGTAATATTTCCTCATTTTCGCATATCCACATGTCCCCCAGAGATTGGCTTTGTGATTTACTTTGGGATAAAACATTCTACACAAAAGTAAGCAAATTCAATTTATTTTTTTCCATTTCTGTGGACAAGACTAAGCAGCACAGCAGAGAACGGCAACTAACGCAAAAAAATGGAAAAGGTGTGAATTGTGCACTTGCAATCAAAGTCATCTGTCAGTTAAGAGAAGAATATAGCCACTTTAAATAAGCTTTACAAACCCAGTGCTTCAAGAAACGGGAAAACTAAGGGCCCAATGGAGCAATAACAATGACATACCAAATAATTTTCATTGCTTTAAAAAGCTATTGCTGTTTTGAGCAGCTCAGGTTTCTCGAGCCTTAAAGCACCTGACCTCTGACCTGCAGTTGAGCCACTCTGTCAGAGAAGCAGTTAGCAATCAATAGGCCACTAAAGGTTACCTTCCCCAAGGCTGTAGCGAATCCGTATATCCCAGGCATACATGGTATCCCTGCTTTCAAAGCCCAGCATCACAGTCTCTGACAAGCAGATGATAGCGAGTGTATAGCTGACCCCCTCATAGGAAAGCCCAGGTTCAAGGCCACAGATGTCTTCTAGTGTGATACTGTGCCTTTCCTTGTGGCCTTTGGTTTTGTCCGACTTGTCTTTGTACACTAGCATTAACAGACAATCTGAAAAGAAGAGCAAAAGTGACACTACAAAGTTGATGTTCTGTCATTCCTGTAATTCAGAAAGCTGGTAACACCTAGTGTCTCCTTTGCTATAGAGAGTTTTAAAACTAATACAGGATAACATCACATCGTACTGTACATATCCAACTATTCTCCACATCAGCATATATACAGTTTATATAAACTGTAAAAATTATAATATAGATTGAGTACCAAGGCTGTTGGGAAAAAAAAAACGTTAACATAATGAAATCTTATACCAATTTCCTTTCAAGTAATGGCAAACTGATAAATCATGTTGTGCAATAACTGTATATTGAAGTAATAAAAATGAACACGCTTTGAAAATGAAGCAGTTATGATGATGTTATCATTGACTATAATTTGATGCTATCTTCCACCGATAAACATGAACTGTAGGTTTGTGCAATGTCTATGTTGGCAAGCCAAGCTTCACACCAAGTCAAAAAGGGAGGTGAAAAGGCCCAGCATTTGAATTGGTCATTGTCTCAGAACAAAGTTCTTGCATATGAAATTAGGACCAAATAGCACTGGAATTAAACTTTAAAATCCAGCTTGATAAATATAATTGAAATGGTCCTATCTAAGATTCTTCATTGTTTGTACAATACGAGTATGTGGTACCTGAAAATGACTTGGTAGGAAATCTCTAAAGCCATTGCATATAACTAAATCTTGGTAAAGGATTTTTTATTTTAGAAATCACTCAATCTTATCTGTCAATTAGCCTGTCTTTGCTTGAAATGGGACGGGGTATATGCATTGAATACACTGAACTGACATAATTCCCTTCATTTAATGGACACAAACCACAATCTCTGCATCAGCTGACAAAATACTCCCTTATTCTTTCACACACATACACCTGTGAACCCCAACAGCTGTGAAAACAGGCACTTCAAAGAGCTTAGCGATCCCAGGGTACAGCTGAAGCTTAACTCATTACAACAACAGAGAAGACAGCCAGGAAGAGATACCGAGGGAGGATACTTCTAAAGTTTTACTAAGAAGCTATGAGTCCCAAACAAATGTTATGCTATGAGTTCCAAACACTGTCATAAAACACTTACTTCATAATGTCAGAATTTTCAATGTCCCAATTCAAACTTTTTACCTTACTTTTACTTTATACCTTTATTGCTGGCTACACAAAATGCGATTACTGTATATACAGTATTTGCAAAATACTTTCCCATCCCCACCAAAAAACAAAAAAAATCAAACAGCATCAGAACTGCCAAAATACAGACTGCTTTTTAATTACATGACATGCTTTCTAGCAATCAAGTTAGAAACAGAACGGGCCCAAGAATTAGAATAATGTACATCAGACAGAATAAAATTGAATAGAATACAAATGTGTGCAAACATGCCAATTTTTGTTTTGTTCTTTTCATGTATAAATTGAATTAACTACACATTGCATTTGTACAATTTCTGAATTACATTCTTATGTCAGCTGTCAGATCTTCCATTATCGACTGATGTTGAGTTAATATATTTCTGTAAGACGCTTGTCGAAAAACTCGGGACTTGACATTTTAGGATATAACTAGCATGCTCTTGTTTAAAAGCAGAATCACAAAAATACATTATGCAGAAGACAATGGAAGAAAATGCATTAGACAGAAGACAGAAAAAAATCTGAAAACTGCAAGTTTTTAAAATTCAAGGACCAATTTAAAACTACCATAATTAAACTATAATGTTATTTGCTCATAATGTCTCAGTATTTATGCGACAAAAGCTCTTACTCTATCATTAAATGGTAATTGATAAACATGGTTTGTAAAAATCAGGCAGACTACAATTTTAAACTATTATTTAAAAAAAAACCTCAGAAGAAACAGCGAAGAACTATAAAATACTAAAACGATCTTTTTGTTAAATCATTTTTAACGTTTAGAATCTTTGAAATTTTGAAAACTGTATAGTAGAATTATTTTCCTGATGACGTTTAAATCGCATTCCAACAACTTATTTTAACAATACTCTTCGAAAAATGTTGCAACGACAACAATATCTCTTTAAATGCAACAGAGGGGCGTTTTAGTCGAGGTAAAACTTCTGAATGAGCAGGATGAAATTTAAGCAGCCGAGGATGCATTAGCAAGTTTGGAACATGTTCAAAACATGGGCTTACGCTTCCATTTCATATCTATATGTTTTATTTAACATAAATGATCAGTATCTAAAACTAACTTAGCAATCGTTTACCCTATGCTATCATAAAAACAAAACAGACTGGAATCCATCGCACGTGTTCTGGTAAAAGTCAAAAGGATTTGAGACCTTTCGAACTGTGACACCGTATAAAGTATTTTTGAATGAAAAATAAATATCGCGCAGGTCAACTTAGGGGAAAACAACCCGAATTATAAAACGTCTTGAAACTGACCACATCAAACTTTCTGGCTTACTCTTTTCACCAAAGCCAAGCTATTTCTATCGTGTTCGTATTATTGCTGCAACCACCGTGTCAAATATAGAACAGTTAGCGACATACCTGCTACAGGGGAGGGCTTTCTGAGAGCAACCCACCTACTCTTCCACTGCAAGGCAAAGGAAAACAAGTTAAATGTATGAGAAACCAACTTTATCATTCCACAGTAGCATGTCTACTACGAAAGTAAAAAACGGCAAATAAAAAAAGTTTTGTAACCTTTTTTCCATCTCTGTATTTGACTTGTCCCTCCACGACAACCGAATCCGTCATCTTCAGTCATGATTCCAAACAGCTGCGCTCTCGGCTCTGTCCTGTTCCTGACTGCGGGGTCACTTTCAAAATAGCTTTATTAGCTTTCAGCACTTAGTGGCACAGAGGTATGACTTCCACCCAGACATACTCTTGAACGTTTCTTTCTCTACCACCCAAGCAACAAAGTTTGGACAACTGTCACAGTTTCTCAGGGTAATTGTTTGGGTTTTTTTTACTCTCGACTGAATTACATTAGCAGATATGTCTTAACGTCATATTAAACAGGTTAATTAATTCACTTGCAATATTTCACAGCTATGTTTTATTTCTTTATATAATAAAACAACAATAAGAAATTAAACTGCTTATATGGATTCCAAATGTACAGTATGCTGGCTGTGGACTTGCTCCCAAAAGAAGGGTGTATAATGTATTACACCATTTGGAAAGGCATCCAGTATGACAACAAATATGATCCAAAGCAGACCAGCACTAAAAAAGATTATTTAACTCTGTTTATTTCTAATTAAATAATTTCTGAAACAAGAGCCACTCTTGTTTTGACAGGTAACAGTTTCAGAAAACTTGTTGGGAATTATGTGAATTCTTCAGCACCTTTTTTTTTATATTGTAGAGTATACCGTATGTTTTTGGTGGTAAATCGAAGATAACCCAGATAATCATGGTACTTGCATGGTATTTAAATTGAGCTATTAACTACCAAAGGGGCTCAATACACTTTTAATTCCAGTACATGAAATTATAAAATATTTAAAACACATTAAAGTTTCTGCTTAAGACTTTTGTATTGGTAGAGGTCAGTTTGAATACAAGAAGGGCAATATTTGAAACTTTTATTAACTGCTAACCATTGATATGAGTACTCCATTCTATCCATTGCTGGGAAGAGGTTTCCCTGCTCTCTACAGATCTGGGTCTTCAGCCCACTTCAACATTAATGTTCTTAATCTCATTTTGCCATCTCTCATGAAGCCTCCCTCTTAGTCTTACCTTGTCATGGGGACCCATTACAGAATTTCTTCGGTTTAATGTTGATTTATCCCTCTTGCTATAATATACAGTACATTTCCCTGTCATTTTAGATTCTTACAAAACTGTGTCACTGCACTGTGTTACAGTATTGCTTCCTTACCTACTAATTTTTGCTTTGTCTAGGATTCCTATTTACTATGCCTATAGTTCCTGGATGATTCTTTTCTTTAGAACTTCTTCTTTTTTTTTCTTATGAACTTATCTTCCATACATTCAACACACATATAAGAAAAAACCTACAGCACTTCCCAAACTCATGTTGTTGTCCTTTTTGAAGCGTATAGGTTGAACCTTAGGTTGATGTTTTAATGTAAGCCAAAGAAAATTAAATCCATAGAGCTAGCACCATCAGAATCCAGAGGTACATTTTGATAACAATCTAATACTTGTGCACTTCAATTGCTTCAGTAAGTAACAAGAAAAAAAATATTTAATCACAATTTTCTTTAATTTCTTTAATCCCCAAATTAAACATATTAAGAAAACACTTTTTGTCAGATACCAAGAACTAAAGATAGCAGATTCTTAATTCTTGTCAACCTTGTAACCTAATTTAACCTAGGTTTGTGATTGTCTTATCATAAGATGCTAATAAATAAATGCAGTTTACATCTGCTCACCATTACATTAAACTGTTCACAAAAAGAAATAAACAAGAAATGTTGTGATCATGCGGTATATTTTATTATTGAATTTGTGCAATTAAAATGTATGAATCAAAAGTAATTATAGACAGATTTTCAAAACATTTTCTAATGACCCATATAGAACATTTCATCAATATAAAGTTATTACAAGAAAGTACTTCTGACAGTTAATTAATAAATCATTTATGAAGAACATTTGTAATAGTACAAAAAAACATACTGCATAAAGGTATAATAGTTAGTAAATATTTTGAATTTCAATTAATCTGTTTTCAAATCATACAGTTGCTTTATTGTACTAAAATGCCACTAGATGACACTGATTTTAAAGCATAATCCTCAAATTAGGACTCCAATATTGATCAAATAAATCTTTTTAAATGCAAAATATGTTCATATGCATAACATTTTACTTCTCCAGTAAATACCATTCCATAACTAATTTCCTGGGCATTCATTTCTGCATTGACTATATGAACAACAGTGGGAAAGCAGACATTTAAGCAGACACAATACGAAAATCCCTTAGATGTAAATTAGGACCGAGCGCCAGGCCTTATAACACTGTTGATCCAGTCCACGTAATTCGAAACCTTAGTGTAGACTCCAGGCTTGTTCGTTCTACCACAGCCATCTCCCCAGCTGATAATGCCATACAGGTAAAAGACGTCATTCTTTACACACGCCAATGGCCCCCCAGAGTCACCCTGTGTAGATAAACAGACATTTTTACCCTACAGGCATCAGCTGTGTGCAACACCTGGAAACTTTATCATTGTTGTCTAAATTCTACATTGAACAAACAACATTTAAACATCTTAAACTACCCCCCCACCCCCAGGGATGAGTAAAGTATTTGGATTTAAATTGAAAGTCTAGAACATTTTAACTTCATTCTACAAAAAAACAAGCTAGTTTCACTTGTTTTTTTTCTTTAAGTGCTGATGAAACAGTAGTGTTCTTCGAAAACTAACATCTGAGAAATACATGACCCAATTTGGGCAACAGCTCAGTGGCACAACACACAGTGTGTACAAGTGGCACAAGTAAGAGGCAGAGCTAGGCAACACTCTGAGGTGATTTTGACAATATAATCTATAGGTGTTCTATTGGTTTTTTAGCTACAGTATGGGCCTTTGGTAATAAGCAATTATGAGAGCTCAGTATGCATCTACAGTGCCTAGTAGTTTGTTTTCTAACCCATTCTAACTATTCTAACGCCAATTTTTCCACATTTCGAACCCATCTAAACTTGCAATTATCCATCCATTTTCTATCCACTTTATCCAATACAGAGTTGGGGGAGCCATAGTCTATCCAAGTAAGGAACAGGCATAAGGCAGGATTCACCCTGGAACTGGATTCCTGTCCATCGTAGGACACACACAGACAGACGAACTCTCACCAGCTCCAATTTTTGCAGAAACCAATTAACCTACCGTAAAAGTATGTAAAATTTTAAATTGTGGGAAGAAAATGGAGCACTGAGAAAAGCCATGCGAACATGGGGAGAACACACAAACTCCACACAGACAGCACCCCAGGAATTGAACCAGGAACCCAGTGCTCTAGGCAGCCATGCAGCCATAGAAAATATTATGGTTCCTACACAAAACTGGCCTGAAAGGGTGATATTCAAGGACGAAGTAGTTATTGAAAGAAATGCATCTTAAATCTCAAGTGATATATACTGTGAACATGGACGAGGGTCTTGTGACAAAATGGACCTTTTTGGTCTAAATGCAAAGCATTTCACCTGCAAAGAGCTGATACAGCACATCGACTGGTCATATTCATTTGAATATGGAAATCTCTCAATAAATCAGTTGTAATACATTAAAGAAGCCTTGTTTTGCTGCATAAAATGGGCTAAAGATATATTCTCCTATTTATATGCACTATCAGTGTATAATACATTCATCAGTTGTTTGAAGACTGAAACTTTAAGAAGAGCACAAATAAAATTGATTATAAACCCTTTAGTCACTTTGATACCTATTTTCTAATGTTCTTACCTGACAAGCATCTACACACTGCAAGCTTCCAGCACAAACCATATTCTCAGTGACATCTGTCCCATATACATCAGGCCTACTACACTGTTCATGGGGGATAATATTAACCATAGCTTCTTGTAGATGAGTTGCATAGTTGTCTGCCTCTAAACAATGAGATAAAGCATATATTCCAAAATGTTAACATTGAAATCACAAGATTCTTTTTAGAAAATGTTAAGATTATACAGTACATCCGGTATCCGGTGACTTCATGTCGTTTTTGTTCATGTATGGTACAAAACATTGTTAATTTCTGATTGTTTTTTAATTTAAGATTTCCATCTTAAAATCCACACTTTGTTTTAAATGATCATGTTTTCATTTTCTTCCCACATTAAACAACGATAAGTTCCTACATTTAAAAAATCAATTTTATATACAGTCCATTATCTAAAAGGGACAACAATTTAGGTTGGAAAAAAGGAAGCACGAAAATATTCAACAGCTTCGAAGTGGCTCAACCATTTGGCCATCTATGGTAAGTTTGAATCTGGGCCCCATCACTGGCAGGTTCTGACCTGCTTCATTCTAGGCACATGAAGGTCTACTACACTGTTCATGGGGTTTAATATTAACCATAGCTTCCTGTAGATGAGTTGCATAGCTGTCTGCCTCTAAACAATTAGATAAAGCATTTATTCCGAAATGTTAAATGTTCAGTACTGACAAGAAGTACAATTGTTTGTGTGTTATTAGGTTAAGCAGATTGTGTTTGTCTATTATTGTGATTTAGTTGAAGATCAGACCACATTTTTATGAGTAATTAATGCAGAAATCCAGGCCATTCCAGAGGGTTCACAAACTTTTTATTGCAACTGTACTTCTGCACTACACTGCACAGTTTATGAGACCTTCAAAAGATGAATGACTCCATAGTGGACAAGTCAGGGCTGGCTGTCTGTACTTCCTGATTCATCCCACAAAATGCTGCAGCTACAATTTTAGATCTTTGTGATTACAAGTGAAGCCAATTTAAAATGTTTATTTTCCTACAAGTAACAACCCCCTCATCAGATTGAAAATTGTACTGTAAACATAAGTGATATGAGTTTCAGCGGATTTCAGAAGTTAAACAAGGCCGGGGTCCTGGGCATCAGAAACCTCTACGTCAAGCAGTTGTTGAAAGTGGTTCTGGTGGACCAGTAGGTGGCTACTTGGGAGGACCACAATTTCCAAATCAGTTTCCCATCAAATGCAAATAAAAAAACAGGGATAGGGAGAGGAAACAGGATCCTTCAAGAGAGTCATTTAACTGAGGACCACTGGGCCATTAAAGATCCATCATAAACTCCATCTGGCCACCCCCTTAATTCAAATGGGGAAATACTTTTTCAGAATGATCAAACCAGCCTACAAGTACTCGGGGATGAAAAGCGCTATGTAATTGTAAGGAATTATTATACTTTTTATTATACTCGAATTATTTTATATTTTATTACATTCTAAATGCAATACGTTGTTAGGATGTTTGTGCCTTTGGAATGAAATCTTAGGTCTCCTGTTCTGAAACCAGTAATAAAAAATATTTACAAGGCTACTGGAATTTATGATAACAACCCTAAGGAATGTGTGCATAGAAAAAGATTGCTTCACGTTTTTCACATACTGTACTTACTCTCATACATGTGTCCCCAGCCAGAAATATGGCAACAGTGATAGTCAGGGAGGGAAAAATTATTTTCTGGCAGGCAGATAGGCCGCACAAATTGAGTCCGTTGGGTGCACCTGTTGTTTACTTTCTTTAGTTTAACAAGAACTGCAAATAAAAAAAAAAGTTTTAGTCACAAATGACGAGTACATTTACAGTTGATTCTTCTCTTATAAGAATATGAAGCAAATCAACTGAAGCATACAACGAAGTACTGTAGTTCAAGTTGGTAGCTGCGTCAGCATGCGTAGGCTGCATAGGAACAAGTAATAGGTTTATTCCATGCTGAAAAGAGAAGAAAAGAAACACAATGTTTCGGCTGTGGAGTCTTCTTCGAGTATGAAAAAGGCTCCACAGCCAAAACATTGTTTACTTTTTTTTAGCATGGAATAAACCTTTACTTGTTCCTTCAGAAGCATACTGTATGATACCTGCAGTAAACTATTGCATGTCCACAATACATTATATGCACTGAATCCAGGAGTAAGCAATGTGATTACAAACATGCCAATCAAGCAATCCTGCTCAAAAGTGCCTGATACTGAACATCTTAGGTCCTCTTTATATTAATTCCATCTTTATATTATTTCCTCATCCTCTAGCAAGAGTTGATGGATTTCGCTTTATGCCTTTAAAGAGCTCTACGCATATGATCAGTAAATTATACTGCAACAATACAGACATGTACTGTATGTTCTTCTAACTTGTTAACATAATGCACATATCTTTATTAGTTGCTGGGAATAAAAATCCAAAAGTGTGATAACACATACGCTGTAAGAAATGTGTGCTTGTGATTTTGCATGTGCCAAAAACGCATGAGCTTGCTAATTGTAATCACTCTGAGAGTACAACTTAGTGAAATAATGAATAATGCCAGGGAGCAACACAATCTGAGAATGTATGGTATTCTGTATTGTGAAGTCTCAAAGGCATTTAGTGTTCACTGATCCAGCATTACTGGATACAAAAAGTAATCCAAAAAATTGACAAAAAGCATCTATGATAGACTGAGATCCGATCAACAGTTGAATAACCCAGAAGCAACCATGAGAAGTATTGCTTCTGCATAGCAATTTCAACACCTATAGCTTATATTATTAATCTGAACAATTAATGTTATTAATCTCAACATTTATACCCAGTTTGACATTACACAACTCAAGAGTGGCTGGACTCATATGCAGATGCCCCTTCAACAGTAACATCTAAACTCAGCATTACTGGGATGTACAGCTGCAGTCTGCATCAGTATGAATGAAAGTCTCTTTGATACTGGCAATAGGGATGCTTTCTGATAAATCCCTGTTCCATGTCTCTGGCAATGTAATAATCAATAATTAGAGGCCCTCTGGGTCAGTAGCTGTAACTCTGCTTCCTGGTCCAGAATTTTGAACAATTGTCCTAAAAATGTCCTAAACATTGTCCTAAAAAATGTCCTACAATAGTGCCATTTGGTAGACATTTGTTTGAAGATGTCATTTAACCAACATAGAGACCAAAAAGGCATACATTTTGTTTTGCTTAACAGACACAGACACACAGTATTCCATGGGTTAGACATTCATTTTCAAAACACGCTTTTTACAAAACAAACATGTTCAAACAGAGCTGTGGAACTCTATTTTTAACTCTGGATTGACATAGTGTAAGAATAGTTTACAAAAAAGAATAACAAAAATCAAAATAATGGTACTGTATAATCATATTTTTGAGTGCGCATTCCTGAAAACACATCCCTAAAACATAATACTACTGATACTAAATACTTAAGCTAATCGCAGTGCACAGCTATTAAAATAAATAATATACTGTATACTTTACATTGATATTTAAATTGTTTTATGGCGATCTGTGTAACATAGTATTTTGGACATGACATAACATTGTAAGAAATGAATCTTAAGAAGTTCTACAAGGTGAACTGCATAAGGCAATAAAACACATGGTGTAAAAACAAGGAAATGTTTAGACTCAGTGCACTTTGTAGGGTAAGAACTATCACTTACACATTTACAGTATAAAGTTCTGAGGGTACAGTAGCCTTTTGTCTGACATGTGGAAAGCAGCTGTCAAGCCGGCAGATTTTCTAAAATTCCTGATTGCTGATGCTGTACTGCAGAAGGCCTGTCTCCATGGCATTCGTTCATCTCAACAAGCCCTCATTGTCTTCATTGAGTATACAGACTGCAAAGAGTCTCACAACAGGAGCAAAGGGAGTTGTTTCAAATGTAACACTCCCAATACCAAGGGTAATATTCCTCTTCTGTTATTCCTTTTTTTCCAATTGAATGTTTTGTACCAATACAATTCAAAGCGTGCTTAATGGCTATCGTAGAAATGGAGTATCAGGAAATAACGTACTGTATTCCAATTATTTTGTCTCTGTGGACAGTTTTGCCAAGATGTCCATGCTTTGAACAAGGCACTGAGAAGCTTTTTACATTTTTTATTCACTGCAGCAGGAGCAACTAGGCTGCCATGGCTGTTCATTATGGTATGTAATGGAAAGAAACTACAGTACACGTTTCTCTTGTATCTGCAATTGGTTTACAGTGTGTTGCACAATGTGTCAAGGCAGTGGACTGTCTCATAGGGATATTCAGGATTCCTTCATCAAAGTCTAGGTTCAAAATAACTTGCTGTCGAGACCTTGCAAGGGCCTCTGGTTTTAGAGATGATTAAACCTGGAGAAACACAGCAGCTAAACTGGTGGCTAAAGTCTCTTCACACCAGACACTTCAACACTCCAATTTCCAAGGCAAAGCAACAGCAATCAAGCACAAAGGTAAAGGAAAGCAAAAGGCTGCTTGCTTTCATTCAGCTGTTGAAAGATAGACATGTGGTGAACAGCTAAATCAAAGAATTAAATGACTGCTCTGAAAGGTGAAACTCAAGCCAAATAAGGTAACACGTGTCACTTCCTTTGGGAAAAACGGTATTAGTGCAGTTACTGAACAATACATGGAAAACTAAGTGATTTCCTGTCATTTAGCACACAAATTGTGGCTGTATTTCTCAAAGGCGACTGTGCTACAATAATAGACATCATTAGAATTCACTGTATTTTGTGTCTATCCCCTCATTCAACACCCTTCTGTCCTTGAACAATAGGTTTATTTAATGCTGAAAAGAGAAGAAAACGCAACATTTTGGCTGTGGAGCCTTCTTCGGGTGTGAGAAAGACAGCAAAGATTATATAGCATAGGAGAACAAAAGCTGTGAGAGGGGAGGAGGCGGGAGCAGCGGAGAGGCAGAGAGGCCACTCAGGTGGTGCAGGAGAGGTGAAGAGAGCTACTCATCAATGAGTTGGTATTGGTGACAGAAGGTATTACTTGTTCCTTTGCAGCCTAGGCGTGCTGACACAGCCACCCACCTGAACTACTTCACCTATTGTCCTCACCCATGCTTCTGTAAAAGGCTAACAGCATTAACTTTCCAGCAATTCCAATTTTGTAGAGTATACAAAGAAAAATATCTGGCGATCCTAAATTTGAATAGTACATATATCACTATAGAGCATTAGAATCAATGAATATATTAATTTTATTAATATAAAATGTACAGGAAATGTACACGTGGAATAACCTGCAAAGGCTAACTGTACAGACACAATGGTTTACATCCAAATATGAATGGCAGCATTCGGCTTTTGCAAGGACTTAGGAGAGAAATTCAAAACTATTTAAACTATAAGGAAAAGGTGAAGAAACTACAGAAAATCTGTAGTGGAGATGCAGTACATATGAAGGAGTAAGAGATGATCAAGAGCTTATATCAAAATGCCTGTTAAAAACAAAATGCAAAAAAACAGAAGCTACTCTATTAACATGTTTTCACATGTTAATAGAGTAGCTTCTGTTTTTTTGCATTTTGTGACTGGAATCACAGAAAAATGGCTAACATAACATTTCTGAAGCTGATAACCAGATGAATTTCAATAAATGCCAGAATGAGACTGTCTGGCCAATTATTTACAGCCAAATGGTGTAGAAGCCAAATGGAATTCTCTCACTGTCCGTTTTGTATTCTTATGGTTCAATCAATACACAGCATTTCTGTTTACAGGCGATCTCTTGTGGCTTTGATTTGACAACACTCATTGGACAACTCATTTAACAACTGTCCACCAAGAGGAGCGTGGTGATTTTGCTGGTCACTTGTTGTTTGTGTAACGCCCCAATTAGCTCCAGCACCACCACATTTATTTAATCAATTACCAATGCGCATTAAACACGTGCAGGAGGCTCATTGGGGCCATCACAAACGAGATCAGGCATTGAGTCACTAGCCATGTCAGTCCCTCAGTCCCTCAGTCCCTCAGTCCCACTAATCATCATCACCTCAGACCTCAGTCTCTGCTCTGCCTGCTTCAGCTGCACAGCTACTGCTTCAACCGTTTTCTCAGTCTCAGTTCTGCTGTCCTCATCAGCGCTGTCATTATTAGATAACTCTCCGATTGCAGCATATCTCTGGCTCTTATTTTCACCGAGCACAATCAACACTTTGTTGGGCCCAGTGTGACAGTTTGTTAGTGGAATTTGGGATACTGATGGGAGAAAAACTAATGTAAGTGCTCTAATGTTATTAAGCTGGTTTATATGGGACTGTAAAGCAAATCAAGAATGTTTAACAAGCAGATGCAGAAGAAAAAGCAAGAGTTAGCTCAATGCCAGTGCAACAGCAAATCATATAACACACTGACCAGAACACCAAAGAACAGGTGGTGCTGGACTTTTTTGAAGAACAGTTAATTTTTCAAACCAAATCATGGCCTTGTTTATAGCGCCTTCAAAAATAATTGTATTAGTTTCAGTTTTATGTTTTTAACCATTAAAAATATATTTGGGTGAAGCATTTATGTAAAATAGTATTGTGGACAAATGGTCTTGAAGAATATTTCTTAGTGAATCTTATCTTGCAGAGCAAACCACAGCCCTAACCTTCCACATATTACCCTCTTAAAAGATACCAAGAGGTATCAATCAATCAAGGTCAATTTCTCATAGGATTTCCATATCATTATAATAGTTTCACCTTATTTTGTTATATTCTTCTCTGATTATAACTGGTCTTCACTGTACTTTACTGCAATACAGTAAGTTAAAGGAATATTATAATTATACCTACCATGGTGAACCTACTATATCAAGGTTATTTTTGCACATTTAGTTTGTTTTCACTTTTACTATAGATTTTGATGGTTTTAACTTCCTTTCACTGCTCTTTACTATCACTTTCTAACAACATTGTCCTATAAATATTTATCAAACAAGAAAAAATATATTAAATTATACCATACATTCTGAATTTATCATAACTATCTTTTCAGTCTGCCTAGAGCAGAGCGGTCAGATACATACATTCCTAGGGTTTAAGAATTGCTTTGCTTCAGTGGGCTAAAAAATATATATTTTTAGTCTTGAATACAGAAGACTACATGCATCTGAAGTTCTGAAAGGCACTGAGTAAGTCAACCCTGTGGATCTTTACAGCCTCAACAAGGAAAAACGATCCACAGGGCAGACATTAAAACTAAATGGAAGTGAATTTAGAACTAAGAATGGGAAGCACTTCTTTATGCATAGGATTATGGTATTGGGACACCACCATAATAAAACCTGATTTCTTCTTCAAGAAATGTCTGAGTTCCCCAGATCAATTAGATACTAACAACTAAATGAGCTGATAGCTGGATAGGACAATAGTCTCCTTTCATTTGTAATCCTATAACCATAACTCCTTACAGACACCTCACGAGGATCAGCAAAAGTCTTTTGATGTTGCCCTTGCTTTGAACCTACAGTTTCTAACCTCACAAGTTTCAAAATTTCATGTACCCTTTGTTCTTTCACCTATGCAATCCTAAACCTAACCACTCAGACTTGTGTTTTATTTTGTTTTTGTTAATAACTCACTTTCAATCTACTCCAAATCCAAACCTAGGTCTCAAGGCAGAACTTTCTCAATACAAAAATAATATGATGGAAAAATTCCTTAATACAAAACAATAAAATAATGTTCTTGGTGGAAGATTATGAGATTATTATAAGTGGAAAACCATTCATCCATCCGTTTTCTAAGCCACTTAATCCAATACTGGGTTGCAGGGGAGATGGAGCCTATCCTGGCAAGCAACAGGTGCCAGGCAGGATACACCTGGAGGCAGTTCATCACAGGGCACACACCAGGGCTAATTTTCCCAGAAGCCAAATAAACCACCAGTATGTTTTTGAATTGTGGGAAGGTAGGAAGGTTAGGTCCCCTTTTCGGGCCATAAAGGCCCATGGGGGAATGGGGGGCAAGGGACACCATTTTACCTTGACCATCCGACACTGGAGGTAATGTGGTCAGCATCGCGCTCTGGCTGGCCTATTACCCCCAGAAGGATTACCCCAGGTACTCATTTGGAAAGCAGGCTGAGTGGACCTGGGAGCTGTCTGGAAGGAATTAGAGCAAGCTAGATCGCCTGACCCTACCCAGGATTAAACCCGGGACCTTCCAGTCACGGCTCCGAATTGTGGGAAGAAGGCCACACAAATACAGGGAAAAAAGGTAGTTTAACTCCACATGGATAGCAGCCCAGGAATAGAACCCAGGTCCCTTGGCAGCAATGCTAACCACTGTGCCTCTCCCAGACAAAAATCAATGAAACACAAGGTTTATTCCATGTTGAAAAGAGAAAAAAGGAAACAACGTTTTCGGCTGTGGAGCCTGACACACCCGAAGAAGGCTCCACAGCCGAAAACGTTGTTTCCTTTTTTCTATTTTCAGCATTGACTAAACTTTTACTTGTTCCTTTGCAGCCTACGCATGCTGACACAGATACCTACTAGAAACATCAATGAATACCAATTCTTGACGACATCTGTTTTTGCACAGATTTGACATTGTTTGATACTATATAAGATTGACAATGTAAGGACTGCTAGTATCTACAATACTACTTACCAATGTCATGAAGAGTTGGATTATACACTGAAAAGCGGTCAGGAAAGATATATTTCTCAATTTTGTAGGACTTGGCATTTAGTCCTGTGTCATTGAAGAAATGCTGGCCCAGGACAACGCGAACTGTGGAGACCAGGGGGCTAAGATGGATACATTCAAGGTGTTACTGCAATGGATAAAGTGCTCCCACTTTGTGTACAAGAGAAAGGGAGCTCAATTTTATTTTCTTACCACAACTTGACTTTTCTGAAATTCAATCTAGCTTAATATCTTTGAAAATGCACTTTTACCCTGATATTTTAATTCAACAGAGACAATGTTTTTTCTACGGGGCTGGGTACAGGACAGAACTAATGAAACAATATCATGTTTCTCATAATGGTGCATCCAGGTTTATCAAACACTGTCAGACCACGATGACTCAAAAGCTACATACAAATTCACAAAGACACTTTTGCTCAATATGGCTGCATTATCACAAATAAGTGTTAGGTCCTTCACAAGCCTACGTTTTGTGTTAAAACTTATACTGGTTTCAGTAGCAATACCCAGAATTTTTGCTGCAAGTTAACATCTGGTACATGTTTGCAATCTTTCTCTTTTTACGCCGTCAAGACAAGAGAATTCTGAGGTACCCAAACATTACACATCTTACCCTTAATTCACATTTTTACGAATAACTGCATGCAACAAAAACTTAAACCAGGAGATATGAAGACAAAGGGTACAAATTCTACAAAACACGGTTAATAAATCCATTCATATATATCCAGATAATCATCATTGTTTCTACTGTTCTTGCTCTTTTCCTATCTCTGGATGGTCTTGAGGAAAAGTATATTGCATACATTTTCGCATGTGGGCCAGACAGTAGGTTATTGTTAAGGTTTTCAATTTAAGATTGAATAAATTGAAATGGGGGAAATGGAAAAACAACAACTGAATTGCTTAATTTAAAGAAAAAACACGCAATTAACAGCATGCACGGAAAACAGGTCTACCTGTGAGCGAAGCAATGGGCAGCAGAGACCACCCAACAAGGCATTACCAGGCTGCCTGCACAGAAATTATTTCCTATGTATAGGGCTGCCATCCAGGGGTAAGAGCCAGGCAAGGCAGAGTGCCCTCCTAAGATCCGCCCCCTCGGGACCCTCTTCCTGTGTCTCTTTCCGCAAACAGGGCTGTGATCCTTTGCTTGTGTTTGACTTGGTCCGTCACTGCTATGTGGAATCCTTGCACTAAACTCTGTAACACAAAGACATCCGGTCACACAGTCTCAGTGATATGCATGCCAAGATAAGAGAATACGTTAGATTCAGTATGTGATCTTCTAAGGCTTTATTTGGGATGAACTGCTAGTCGTACACATGCACAACGAGATGCTTCTTTACTCATTGAGGGTGTGCAATTGAAAAAGCAGGAGAAAGCTGAAGGTCACCAGACACTCACAAGTTATTCTTGAATCAATCTAAGACCTGTAAACTAGACACTCTTTGAGTTCAAATTCTGAATCCTTTCTCACGTATGTTCATATACATTTATCCCTACCTAAAAGCACAATAACCAAAGGTCAGATACTGAGGCACAACAAGGGCATTAAGCCAGGGAGAATGTCTTCACGAATCAGCACGAATAAAGGGATTCTGCAGAAAAAGAATTACAGTACATCAAATCATAAAACAACAAGAGTCATTACTCATTTTGGTTGATACTGTATGTTGGCATATACATGTTCATAGGGCACTTATAATTATAGAATGAGTGATTTTCAATAAACTGAAAGCACTATACAATAAAAAATTCTTAATAAAACTAAGAATGAGGACAAATTTCACATTAAAAGCTTTATTAAAAAGATAACTATCTAAGCAAGTTTTAAAAATGTTGAAACTCTAATGGATCTGGGCAATGAGATACAGAATAGCACCTCAGAAGGCTCTGTGGCCCATTGTGTGGAGCCAGATCTAAAAGTTCGAGCTGTACTATTGTACTCATGCATTAAGACCTTAAAATAATCTGGACCTAGTCCATTCATTGCTTTAAACATTAATAAAATAATTTTAAAGCAGGCTATGTTTCCCAGTGAGCCAGTACAATTTACATAGTATGTGTTGATGCAGAGTACGTTTAGTTAGTGCATAGCATGCACAACTTTGGACGTACTGAATCCCACATACAGTAGTTCCTTAGATAGAAGATACCCCAGGAACTAAGGCATTACAACCAGTCTAATCTTGCATGCATCAATATTTCAACATCAGATAGGCAGAGCAAGCGTCTTAACTATGTAATGTTATACAGATGGAAAAATGATGCTCTTGTGGTTCAGCTGAAAGGACAAAATATAAGTAAGTAAAATAATTAAGAACAAGGTATCTAATTTCCATCAGATCAAATCTGTTTGATTTCAGTACTATCTTGAATAATTGTAATCATAACTCAAAACACTCGAAGTGAACTCTTCACAACCCACTAAAGGTGTTTTGGTTACATAAAGAGAACATAAGTAAACAGATTACTTGCTATGAAAATCATAAATTATTCCCAAGATACCAATTAATCATCTTGTATTACAGTACCCAAGTAAAGGTTTTGTTAAATACACTACTGTATATATATTTACAAAAGAACTAAGTAGTTTACCTAAATCTCATTTAAATATAGAGAGGTACAAAATGTTCTTCCACCCATCCAGTTTCTAAGCGCTTCTTCCAATACAGGGCCTTTAGAGGACCCAGAGCGAATCCTGGCAAGTAACTGGTGCAAGGCAGGATACACCCAGGTCTCCAGTCCATCACAGGGTTCACAGACCCGGACATGCACAAACTCACACTAGGGCCAGTTTTCCCAGAAGCCAATTCACCTACTAGTGTGTCTTTGGACCGCGGGACGAAACTGGAGCATGTGGAAGAAACCTACATAAACATAGGAAGGACATACAAACTCCACACAGAGTGGAGAGCTGTGAAGCAGCAATGCTAATCACTGTTTCACCATGACGCCCACAATAATTATTCTGATTAACAAATGATCTGTATAATTTACCATTCCAAAGATTATTTTCCCATATACTAGTGCTATTATCATGGGAATTTGTCTCAGTTTACACATTAGCCTGTATTCTAATGTTAATACAACATATGTAACCTGAAATCAATATCAAGTTGAACAAGGATGGCCAAAATGAACTTTAAACTGATGTTTTGCTTATTTGCATCATGCAAAATTGGTCAAGATTAACCTCCAACATACCCAAAAATCCATGGTGACACAGGATGTGAACTTTTTTAAAAAAATAACTTTTTTTGGTCTGACTCCATTTGTAACATAGCCTGCACAGGTAAGAACTGAAATGCAACAATCTCAGTGAATCTTAAGTCTGAAAGTAGAACTGATATTAGCATAGCTAAAGCTGATTACTTTCTTTATTTTATATCCCCTTATAACAGAGGAGGATGGGAAAAGATGCAATTTAACAGTCAGTGAAGATCAACAATAAAATGCACTGACGACTACCACTGTAATGGATAATAACAGTGTGATTGATAGGTTTAATAAAAAACTTGGTTCAGTCACCAGTGCAGAAGACATACTGTCACCTGTCTGCTCAGCAAATAGTAGATGTTGAACTGAAATGGTTTGAGCTGCAGCCTGGAGCTGAAGTAAATCTAACAGAAACCAATATGGATTACAGAGCCTTGTACTCTAGTACAGTATGTTTATTTTAACTTTCCACATGATTTTATTTTTCTGGTGCATTACACTCTTTTATGAATACAGGCTAGTGTACTTGTTCCTTTTATTTATTATTGCCTAGACTTTTTACAAATCTTATACAGTACATAAAAAATAGTATTGCATACCCCCCTGGTGCAGCACAATGGGTCATGGAGCTCATTTAATTTATGCCTAATCTGTACAGATTAAATTTACCTCACTAAAGCATTTCTCAAAGTGGAACTGGATTGAAAGGAAAAGAAAGCTTGCCTGAGAAATTTACTGAGAATTTACATTTCCTCAGCTTGTCAAATGTTTCATACTCACATCTCAAACAGCCCTGGAGAAAGCATTTTTCTCAGACAGAGAAGGAGACATTCCTCCATAATATCCTCCAGATTATGCATACCAAAAACAGCTAAAACAATGAGGATTTTTGCTGATGTTTCATTTTCCATTTTTATTCCAAAATTAATATGACAATATTGTTGCAATTCTTAAATGGGAAATACCTGGGATACTGGAGCAAGTTCAACAAGATTGGTTAGTTATTGGTTGGTCAGTACAGCTGTGATCTTTGAAATTCAGTGTCTTAAATACTAATACTATTTAAATACCATACAAATACTCACGGATATGTCCCACACATTGGGAAATATCACAGTAATCCCAGGAGATCTCAGCGCCCTTCAACACATAGCACCAGGGCTTCTCATCTCGATCTGGGTTTCTGGAGAAAAAAAAATAACCACCAATTTAAGCATGAAACCTTTCTATGTATCTAATTCCCAGAGAGCCGAATTGTGTACAAATAGATACTGTAGGATACCTCTTAGCTGCTATAATTAAAAAAATGTAACACAAATACATTTTGGGAGTTGGTAGTACAAACTATAATTTCTACATGTGTACGCAGTCCTCATTTTAGCTATGGTTATGGAAAAAAAATATCATCCCATCTAACAGGACTTTCTAAAATACTGCGCCTACAAAATTTCACAATCACAATTTCGTGAATTGATGCTTGAGAAAAGATCTGGAAATCATAGCTCAACAGCAAGAACAAGAGCTGAGCCTGATCCTGACCCTTCTTACCCAGTGAAAAGGATGGCTCTCACCTGCAGAAATTGTGATCACCCAGACCCACCAGGGCTGCGTCCTCCACGTTCCCTAGATGGACCTCATTGTGCAGCAGGTCTGAGCTCCAGGGCAGACAGGTGGCCCCTGAGATAGTCTTCTGGGCTGTGCCTCTGTACTCTGTACCATTGTCAGAGTAGCACCTGACATCAGGAGCTTTTGTAACAAGGGAAAGATTTAATGTCAGATGTCAGATGGGTGGGAAAAAGCTATTTTGTTAAAGCCTGCTTCATTTGTAAAATCCTATAATTGGTTGCGCCACACCCCTCCACCCCAATTTGCCTATTTTTGTTATGCTCCTTGTTTATTTTTTTAGATCTGTGGGATAATGGTCCATTCAAGATCCAGAATTGTACTCTTCTCCCTGTTTGTCACTAATGAAGCTGAATGAGTCCGAGTCCGAATTCGAATTGAGCAGTCAACGGAAGAGCAAAGGACACTTGTGAAAGCAGATATGAACCTCAGAATACACAGGATACATGGAGATCATTTTTTTCAGAGTCAAGCCCCAAGTGTTTATTTGCAGGCTTTTCCAGTATGCAAGAAGACAACTCCTCTTGAAGGAAAGCAAGCAATCTGGTCTTATTCACTCAGCTGAAGGATATGCATTCCTGTGTTTAGACATTGATTACAGAGAAAATTCACCTTTCCTGCCACAAGACCAGCAAAAGGAGTGCTATTGTCAGCTACCATACAGATAAAATCTATATTTTATTTCGTTATGCTGAATCTACAGTTCACACGTGCAGTACGATCAGCACTATTGTATCAGGTTTTTCCAATTTCTGCATTCACTTGTTTTTTAAATGTACTAATTAACATTTTCACTCTGCAGAGGCTATTGTATGAAGCGACTTTATCTTTGTTTCAGCAAAATGAAATCAGTCCAAAGCATGATGTTATTCTCAATAGTTTTAGTTCCGACATTTATATGATTTGGGGAAGTATTTGAGGTTATTGCAATCTCTTTGCCCTGATGAAGCAGCTACACCCAGGACACATACTGTACATCGCTGTCTGTCTGAAAGGACATAGTTAAGGACATGGTAAAAAGCAAATCTCTTCTGAATTCAATCTGAGCTTTTGGCACCAATTATTGTGCTCTTCTGCTTGGAACAACACATACACAGATAGAAAAAGGTTCATTTCAAGACAAAAAAAACACCTCCAATTTAGAAAATAGAGTTTAATCTAATCTTTAATCTACAAAGATGTTAAGATCCTGCCACTCCTGCAGGAGGTTAATATGGTCAAGTTAATATGCCTAGGGTTATCACTTAGAAAGGTAATTAATATTCATAAGGAAAAATATAAGTAGTTCAGAAAGTATATAGATCTAATATACCTATAACCTGTTATGCCCCAACGAGCTCCAGCACTGCTGCATTAGTTCCACCAACTGCCAATACGCATTCCGCACATGCTGGAGAATTAATGGGCCGTCCTCAATGAGATCAGGCCGGGCCTATCAGGCCAATTAGGGAACTTCGCACAGTATCTAAGCCCTGAGGAATCATTCCTCAGGACTCAGACACTGAGTTGCTAACTCTGCTTTGAGTGTC